CGAGCCAGCCAAGTGTGAGAATGGTTAGCCAAGTACGCGGAAATGAAAGCGTTAGAAGAGTGATGCAAGAGTTGACTGTTACCATCGAAGAAGTTGAAGATGAAGTAGTCGATTTGATTGGTATGTTCAATAGCTTTGCGAGAAGTTCAAACGTAAGAATGGTCAAGGAAATGAAGAAGAGACCTAAGACAGGCACGTCTGAGGAAGATAGTGAAGAAGGAGTGCCTAAGAAGTACCAAAGAGAGAGTATCTTGTTTTACGAAACAAAGTGTGCCCGAGAGCAGTTGCAGCGCCGTGGATATGATGATAAGGAAACAAAGAGACGAGCCAATGCGCTGAGAGCTACATGGAAGCAAGTGAAAGATCAAAACGACTTGGTGAAGGAAGTTCTGGACTTTCTGAGGGCCTATCCAGATCGAGCAATTAGACAAGAGTTTCTTGAGAAAGTTGAGTTTATCTACGTTGAAGATGAGCAAGATTGGAAAGAAATGAGAGAAGAAGACAGAGAGAAAAGAGAAGCGTTGAAAGAGCGTATGGCCGCTGAGCGAGAAGCGAAGAAGAAAGCAAAGTCAAGCGGATCAAAGGATAACGCCAGAAGAGTAGAAGTGTTTGACATCAGCGATGGAGATGACGAAATGATGGTGATTGATGAGTTGATGGAATGGTACTTGGGTGAAGATGTTGAGCGCGTTAGAATGGTAAACAACCAGCAGTGTGAGAGAGATTGGTATGAACCAGTCGAAGTACGCTTGGACAGTGGAGCAGATTGCCACGTCCTGCCTCTGAGTTTCTACAGCGAAGAGTTAGGAACTACCGAGTTACCAGAACTGCGCATGATGATCACAGATGCCCAAGGAAACGCCATAAGAACCACAGAAACGAGAGCAAACATTACATTTGAGTTTCAGAAGGAAAGCGGAAGAACGTTGAAAGTCATTGACAGTTGCGTATTCGGAGAAGTTACGCAACCATTGTTCACAGTAGGAAAACTGAGGAAAACTGGTTGGGGCATGGAACCCTACAGTTCTGAGAAAGCATTCTTGGTAAAAGGAAATTCGAGAATTCCAATAGGCTTTCACCGAAACTCGGCTATGACAGAAGTGAGAATTTATCGAGCCGAAGCACGGCCAGAAGTAGTCGTGTCTGGAATCAGAGTCGCGAACAGAGTTGAGATCAAAGAAGGTTTGAAGGAATGTTTGGATCGCGAAAAATGGACCGACGGACCGACGGATGGTTTTCCTTCCAGACGGGAGACCAGCAAGATTTGATTGGTCAGTGAAGACGACCTATGATCCGACAGAAGAAGGCATGGAATTTCCGTACCCAACGGTATTCTATGGACCCTGCAATGGAGATGAGATTGTTTGGAGCGAGATTGAGATGTTCTCGCGCGCGGAAGAAGGGAAGGGATTCGAGGTCATGGAATTTGAGAAAGTTGAAGATGTCGTGATCACAATCATGGAAAGAGCACCTCAAGAAGTTTCGAGGTACATACATCAGCGAAAGGAAAGAAAGAAAGTGAAAAGAAGCCACAAGAAGAAGCTTCGAGCAGTTCAGGAGATAAGAAAGATAAGATGGCACAAGAGAAGTTGGAAGCAAGATTGCCAACTATTGGAGAAGATGAATTTGAGGAAAAGATGATAGTTGGTGGAGTCGAGCTCACNNGAGAGTTCGCTGAAAGAACTCAAGCAATCGCGCAAGTTTCTTGGAGTAGGAGTAACAGGGAGCAAAAAATTGCTTTGGCAAAGCTTGGAGAAAGAAGTTGCTGAAAATAAGCTGACATTCAAGGCCAATCCCCGGCTCAAGTTGCTGCTAAAAATCTTCAGGCCTTTCGAACCCTGAGAGATGACTTGCAGCTCCGCTCCCTTCCTGTCAACACGGTGAAGACAAAGATCATTGCGTCCAACGGCCAAACGGTCTTCACGTTGATTCGGCGGACCTCTGGCTGCGCCGGCCGGACGGCCAAAAAGAACACTGGCAGGACGATAGGCTTGGGCAGCGGTCGCGGCTAGAATCACAGATGGTGTTGCGGAGGTTGTAGGCACGATCTCAGGCACTTTGCCCAGACCTAGCAACATGACCGCCAAGTGTGCCAAGTGCGGTTTGTACATTGCACAAACAGATCCCTCTGAGATCTTAATGCGTCTGATGACCCGCCCCAGCCAATCTTTTCTAGTTTGGGACAATATGAGTACCACAAGCTTGCCCACATTGGCCAAAGCTGGCAGCGCTGCCAAAAGCAATTGCAGGTGAGAGCGAAGGTATGCCCTATGCACATGAAAGAGAAGTGTGCCAGATCTTAAGGCCGGTGGTCAGAGTCGGTGATCAAGAAACAAACGGCCGGTGTTCAAGCTGGTCTGAGCGCAAGAATTGCTGCGACTTCAAAACCAGCTTTAGCAAGGGTTTGGTTGCTTTGAAGACCTTCTTAGCAAGATCGCTGAGGAACGAAGAATGCTAACGTGGCGAAACTTTCTGTTCTCGGATAGAAGCACGTTTCCCCCGAAATCCTGACATTCTCTGAAATGACTCTGACAGTTGCACATCTGAATCTTGCGGAGAGCTTCATACTTCCCTGTAACTGAAGAAATGACAGACTGCACTGAGAGGTGATCATGTCTTAAATTACCTGTAGCTGGTAATGTCCGAAACGCACAAGTCAGACAGGTGTTCATGGATCATCCAGCGCCACATAGTCGGCTGGCGGACACGACATTTTTTGGCTGGACCCTTATCAAAGGCTGTGACAAAGTCCCCTCAGGCTGCGAAGCCAGCGGATCAGGCACCCCAAAGTGCTTGCGTAAGCTGAGTTTGGGCTTTTCATTGCACAGAACGCCAGGTTCGAGCAGATAGACTCTGCACTGCCTTGCGTTCGAAAACCTGGAGGGCCTCAAAAACCGAAGTGACCCGGAAGTGACAGCTTTGGAACGCTCGCAGCAAGAGAGTGTCGCACAGGTTGCAACGGAGTCGTGCATTGCAGAGTGACTTTGAGCGAGTTTTTCGGTTTGGAGGAATTTTCAATTGGAGTGTTTATTTCCGTGTCTGTGCTTTCAGTTCTCAACTGTCAGAAGGTTTTCAATGTCCGTTTGGCATGAAGTCGATCTTGCTTTGCAACATCAGGTGAGCCAGCATGATCATGACATTTGCCGTCTTCGCAGACGACCGTAATGCAGTCCGCACGGCAATCACAGCTGCTTTTCAGTATTGGGTCGGACACGGCCGCAGATCGAGCAAGAATTGCCTGCTTGTTCACTGCATGGAAAGCCGCAAAGCTGATCCGTGAAGAGGCTAAGTTAAAGGCAGAGGTCAAAGTGCTAGGCATGCATCAGACCGTGTAGCGATGAGAATCGCCCTAGAAACTGTGAAGAGTTTTGCTGTTTCAGAGTTTGAAGAACCTGCAGCTGAGTATTTGGCCCATAAGCTGGAGCAAATCGAAAACGGTGAGCCAACTGGGTCGCGCTTGGATGAGATAATTTCACGCAGCACTTCAGCTGCAGACTTCCTTGGACAATCAGGACCACCTTCCAAGAACTTGTCAGAACTCTAAGAGCAAACTGCCTCAATCCACGGAGAAATAAGATCTGCTTGGAAACTGCTATCTGGATCATGCTTTCGGCCAAGTGCAAGAAACGTGTTGAGCAGTTTCGACCGACATTTGGAATATCTGTTGGGGGATCGGTCCCCTGAGTGTCCTGCTTCAGTATGAGTTCGAGATGAGGCTGTCAAGAAGAGAGGCAAGCCGTTGGGTGATTTGCTTCATGAAACCACTTGCAACACGGATTTGAAAGAGCTTCACTTCACTTCTCAGGTGGCTTTGGCCAAGCGCACTCAGCATGAAGACCCACCTACCAAACAAGTGGTTTCGAAAAAGTGAGAAGTGCAACAAGGGCAAAGGCAATGACAAAACCAACACAAAAACCGACGGTCAGGTCAAGATCGGAGAGAACTGGTATGATCTGGTTTCGAAAACCCTTTGCTTTGCCTACAACATCAAGCGTGGCTGTCAGATCAAAGGATGTAAGCGAGTTCACGCGTGTCGTGTCAAGGGCTGCCAACTTATTTGCTGGCGAATCACGTAAAGTAGATGTACGACATTATCTGCAGGACTTCTGCGATCTGGCACAGGTGGATCTCAAGATCTCTGAGATGGATATTTGCCGAGACCCCAGCATGGACCTTTTGGACGAAGCTACCGCCAAGCGGGCTTTGCAGCAAATCCGTGACGGATCTTGGGATGTTGTGATAGTCACACCCCCTTGCAACACCTTTTCTAGGGTCAGATTCGCACAGCCGGACCCGAAGCCTGTTAGATCAAGACTTTACCCTTTGGGTTTTCCTTGGTTATCTGACAATTTGTTGGAGTTCGCCAGGCAAGGAAACCAGTTCATCGATTTCTCTTTTCAGGTATGCTTTGCCACTTTGGACGCGCATGCTGATTTCCTGCTTGAGCATCCGGAAGATCTTGGACGAACCCGCTCTGGACATACGCCGGCTCTATTTGGTAGCCGGAGGATGCTCAGCGTCTTTTCTCACATGAACGTGTCTTCACATTTGCTGTCTATCAGTGCCGATTTCTGGCTAAGTCATCTAAGCCAACGCGCTTCATGACAACCATTCAGGCTGCAAAGAAATGCCATTTTCAGGTCCGCCCAAATTCGGCAAGGATGACTGCTACGCTGGACCGCTTGAGTTCGTCTGGGCAATGGAAAACCACTTCCGCTGCGGCTTATCCTCCACTCTTACGCAAACAAATTGCAGAATGGGCGTTCTCCGTCTTCGATGGGGGGGCGCCAAATCACGTGGCATGGACACGTCCGGTCAAGGCATATTCTTCCACTTTGAGGAGCTGAACTCTGCCTCTGATCCACCTACTAACAATGGGGCTGAGTCTCCTGCTGCAAAGGCGCTTATGAGTGGACATGTTTCGGAGGCTCAGCTGCTGGCCACTTCTCTCTGACGAGAACAGAGTGAGAGAGAGAGATAATCACACGCCGGGTCAAAGATCATTCACCACGGGCGTCTACTGCCATCACGGTCAAGCTGGATTGAGAAAGAATCTGAATGCCTTTCCGCTTTGCTTCCAACTGTTTTCGAGACTTGTTGTGAGCCAATTTCTTGGAGAGCCATTCACTTCGTTGGCGCTTTTTCGGGATACCTGTCAGCCCTGCATAAAGACACAACAAATGGGAAATACAACAATCTTTTGTTGGCCTGTTCCACCTTTGAAAATGGTGGCTCGTGGATGAGAATCCTGTTGGAGATGTCTGCAGACTGGTGCATGGAAAGAACATGGCTGGCCGTGTGCTCTATTGGTCCGGAGGAAGGATCTCCTTTGATCCTCACTTGTGGCATGCTACTGAAAGGTGGTCTGGAACGAGGCTTGTGCTGGCGGTCTATTCCATCTCTTAAGCAGAGCTGCTTAATGCCGAGGATAGGCGTAGGCTGGACACCCTGGGCCCCACGACAGTGAAAACTTCCTGCAGGTTTCCGGAAGGGATTACACCTTGTTTCCTTTTCCAAGCACTTGAAGGCACCCCTAGCCGGGGCGAGGGGGCGCGAAGCACTCTTCTCCAGTCAATGTTGAAGTGTCGGGCAGCGTAATGCGTCGACCATTACTATTACGATTACTACTACTACGAGCACTACTACTAAGACTACTACTAGTACTATTATTTACTACTACTACTACTACTATTATTATTACTACTACTACTATTATTACTACAACTACAACTACAACAACAACAACTACTACTACTACTACTACTACTATTACTATTACTATTACTATTACTACTACTACTACTACTGCTACTACTACCATGACTTGTAATAGTACGGCGATTATTACGACGATTATTACTACCACTATTACTATTACTACTACTATTACTATTACTACTACTACTATTACTACTACTATTACTACTACTACTACTACGACGACGACTACTACTACTATTACTATTATTATTTTTATTATTATTACTACGGGCACTGCTGCGCCTACTACGACTACGAGTACTCTTGTTACTACATTACTATTACTATTACTGCTACTATTATTTCTACTTCTACTACTTCTACTATTATTATTATTACTTTTACTTTTACTATTATTATTACTAGTACTATTATCATTAGTACTATTATTATTGTTACTATTATTATTGCTAATTATTATTAGTACTACTAGTATTACTAATACTATTATTACTACTACTACTATTACTACTACTAGTATTATTATTATTGCCACCACCACCACCACCACCACCACGACTACTACTACTACTACTACTACTACTTTTCCTACTACTACTACTACTACTACATTATTACTATTACTATTACTATTGTTATTACTACCACTATTACTATTACTACCACTATTACTGTTACTATTATTAGTACTATTACTATTACTATTACTATTACTACTACTACTACTACTACTACTAGTATTACTATTATTACAATTACTACTACTGCTACTACTACTACTACTACTACTAGTCCTTCCTACTTCTACTATTACTATTACTAATATTTAATATTACTGCTATTACTATAAAAACTACTAGTAGTAGTTTTTGTGCGATGACTAAATTTCCGGCGCACAAACAGCTTGCCCATGTTCCGAATCAGCGTCTGTTGACTGGTTGGCTAAAAATCTGGCGCAGCGCCGGTTCGTCCCACTGCAATCTCGATCTGACATCTTCCAGTTTTTCTCGTTGCAAGATGCTGTCTATTTGTTGCTGACAGAACGCCCTTGCGCTGAATCTAAAATTTGCAGGTAGTATTCTAAGAAAATTTTCAGAAAGTACACTTACTTCTGTTTTCTTTTTTCTGAAATTAGCAGAAAGCATGTGAATTCTCTTCCAATCAATACCTTTTCAAAAAACAACGCAGCAAATACCATTTGATCATGCAGTCTCTTCCAACACCGCACTTGGCATCAGCAATCTCAACTTGCCTCTATTAAGACTTTGATGAAGAATTGACCAGCCACTCCGATTATCCAAAGCATAATAGATAAAGAGCTCTCTTCATCAAATGGACAACAGAATCAATCAAACTTTACAGGCCTGCATGAATAACAGAAAAAACATAGCTTTCTGAGATTTAAAAAAACCAAACAAGTAACAATGGCTTTTATTCTAACCATTTCAAGCAGAATATGGTATACGCGTCAAGCCAATCAAACTATCCGCAAATGACCCGAAAGTCAAGAAAATCTACACGATTAACGCAAACAAGATTTTTTGCGCACAGTAGTTTTAAAAAAACTATCAGAATAAATGGAACATACACGTAGCACAACACTGAAAGCTTCTTCAACGCTATTTCTGTTATTCTACGAAAAAATGAAAATTCTGAGAGAAATGATTGAAGTTACATGTGAAAAGACGTTAATGCTCTGACTCTTGTAAATAGATTTGATTTCGCCTGGTAAAAGCTTCAAACAATGGCAACAAATGTCAAACGCATTATCCGGTGCAATTTTGCGCGGCCGCCCGAAACACGATTTCGCGCTGAGGGAAGAGTGCTTCGCACCATTTGGAATGCTGTTTATTTGGCATGTCGAAAACAGAGCATCCATTTCACCGACTTGCATTTCGTTTTTGAAAACTGTGTGAAAGTTCGGAGCATGAGATTCTCAAGTGGCTGGCAAACCGCCTCAGGAGTGCAAGAGAAGTGAGTGCGCCGCTCTGCGCTAGAACCAGAGTCCTCCTCGCAGTTCGCATCCGAAAAACCATTGTACCAGTTTCTCTCCGCTGCACTGACAAGGCTAGGCTTATAAGCAGACAGATCACAAGCATTCTCAATGTCTGAAGAAACTCCAACGCCACACACTGGTAAGCCGCCAATGTCACTAGATAGAGCCGGTTCTACCCCGTCACCACCCGAGGATTTGGCTTGCGACTGTTCACAGGTTCGGCTGGAGCTGCAGCTTATGCGTCATGCTTTTCGAGGGTGACGATGAGGGTAAGCAGCTTGCTATCCTAGGTGACTTTTTCAGTGGTAGATCGCCTGACACCCTGTACAAGCGTGCAAGGGCAATCAACAAGATCTGCAACTGGATGGAGACGAACGTGACCACATTTTTCTTGCAAGAGTGTGAGTTCTATTCTTTCCTGTGTGATGAAAGGGGCGAAGGAGCTCCTACATCGCGGTTGAAGGGCTTCACGGAGGCCGTGGCGTTTGCTAACTTCGTGCTTGGCCTTGTGCAATTGCAGGCATGTGTGTTGAGCAAACGGTGTAATGGCGTGTCCAAACAACTCAATGCCAGAGAGAGATTACACAAGCTCCGGCGTTCACAGTGGAACAGCTGCTAACATTGCACAGCATTCTGGATGGAGATGAGCTTTGAGATGCTGCACTAGCTGGGTTCGTGTTGTTTCTTGTGTATTCTCGTTTGAGATGGTTTGACGGGCAACATGTCATTGGGTGGGAGCGCGACATTCTCGAAGATCGTACTGTATACCTTGAAGCCAAGATGGCAGTCACAAAACCATCAGGTCTGCGCAGCACAGATTCAGGTTCCTTCCGGCAGCAGCCATTAATCATGGAGTATGTGGACAGGACTGGGTGGCTAAGTGGCTTAGTGTTCGTGAGCAGCTTGGTATGGCGACTCCGCCAACGCACCCACCGCTTGCTGCTCCAGACAAGTCAGGACATCCTACCCACAGGCCAGTATCTGCGCAGGAGGGAACAGTGTGGATCCGTGCACTGCCTGAGAGGCACCTGGCGGAGCCTAAGGCCTCCACTCACTCGGCCAAAGCCACGCTGCTATCGTGGGCCGCGAAACGTGGATTCACGATTGAGGATCGTCTTATGCTTGGGTATCACAGCATTGCGGGGACCATGGCTCTCACGTACAGTCGTGATGCGGCAGCGAGGGAGCTGCGACTCTTAGAGGGTCTTCTGAGTGAAGTGAGAGTAGGATCTTTTCCTCCTGACATGACAAGAAGTGGACGGTTCCCTGAGGAGCAGCATGTGTGGAGGAGCCGCTTGTTCCAGCATCACATGATCTCCCGCAATAAACGGGTGCTGGTCCGGCGGCGGTATTGACTGCAGCTTAGGTACCTCTTGCTGCTGCTGAGGCGGACGAAGAGGTGCTGCCGGGCAGGCCAGCGGATGAGTTGCAGAAGCAGTAGAGGCGTCGAGCTCGCGTGCCACAACAAAGACGTCTGACAGTAAGAGTTCAGACCTCAACATGCCAAATAACGTTACGCCGTTACGCTACAGGTGTCAGAGGCGCCTATGGATTTCCGTTTCTTGAGGCACAGAAAGACGAGGATGCTTCATTATACTAAGGTTGGGTCAGTGCACTTTCTTGCGTGCGGTAGACAATGCGAATGCTGAATGGCTGATGTTGTAGCTGACTCAAGGCAACTTGGATAAAGACATGCGCAACAGGATACCAAGACATGTACAGTCTTCGAGCCAACTGGGACTTCTGTGCTCAGGAGTCAGCCTCCGACGCACGTGGCACATATGTAAGTGCGATGGCAAACTGCTAACGGGTTTGCTCAGAAGGCACCTCCAACGCTTCTCCACATGGTAGTGCGATGGCAAACTGCTCGCATCGGATACGCTCAGAAGGCACCTCCGACGCGCCTCCGCTAAGACCGTGCAAGCGACACATCAAGCACTCAGATCACCCTGTCTCTGACGCGCTTTTCGGCCGTTCTGGATCTCGGTCCTATATCCGAATCTCCCCATCACCTTTGTGATGTGGGGAACATCATATATGAAACTGGAGAAACGCGGAAGTTCAGAGCTCCATCAAGGCTGAGAGCAAACAAATCCTGCAAGTTGAAAAGAATGCCCTTGTGCTGGCAGCTGCTGCACATGTCAAGGCGGACACCAGCACAGAACTTGAGCAGGGGATCGGAGAGGAGCGGGCGTGTTACCGATGTTGTGTTGCCGCCCTCATCTGCTTACTCTTCCACATTGCCAAAAGCGACAATGGGAAGGTTCGTTAATGTGCAATTGGTAATCTGCTTTTGATCGAGGTTTGTGCTGGGACGGCGAGGCTAAGCTTCTCGGCCCGATTGGAATAAGTGCCAGATCTTTCAACTTCCGCCGCATCATGTGGCAGCTGCCATTCAATCTCGAAAACTGTGGATCTAGGTCCAGCTTGTTCATTTCCAGCTTGCTCAT